GTTATATTTACCAAAATAATGATGTTTTTATATGCTATATAATATACTATAATACGTTATACAATCATAAAAATTATTTACGGACTCAGATATAATTTCCATTTTAATTTTATTTTATTTTTTAATTGCGATGTTCAAAAAAGATTGTTTGCAAGCTAAATATTTTTTATTTACGTATAAAATAAAATATTTATAAATTACAAAATCCTATCAAAAAATGGAAAAATACTTAAAATATTCTATTTGGGGGAAGATACTTACATATGTATTATCTATCTCACATAATTCATGTCTAAAAAATAAGTATCTTTAAAGAATATATAAAAGATATGAAAACTGATTTGTGCATATCTTTAAACCTACATACTTATCCAATTCCCTTATATACACAAACATTATTTGGCCCTTAAATTTGTGCGGTAAACATAAAAAATGAAAACCTATTTACCTCGCAATCACAATACTCAATAACATTCATATTCAAAAGTACAGGAAGCAAGAACACATGATATAATTTTTGAACCATATTCAATTATTGTGTTGCACTTTCAAAAGAAGATGAGTACATATTGAAATTTACAGGGCACTTCATACTACAGATAGGATAGTCAGTAATACCAGGTATTGATTTCACATTCATAATCACATGTTATTCTACTTCAAATTTAATGTATGTTCACTCTTAACTTTGTCAAACAAAAACTCCAGATATCTACTAATCTTAGATATGACTGTCATTTCTGTATGTATATATTAAAGCACGTATTCGATTTGGCACTATACTATTTAATGTTTTTACTGGATCTTTTACAGATTATATAGTGTTCTTCCGGAGGGGCATGTTCAGATATTGCGTTTCAAGTTCAAACATAAATTGAAGACAACTGCAACAGCATATAAAGATGAAGAATGTTTACCATTTCAATCGCAGTGAAGACAAACTGAAGCACAGAAAAAGTTATATGCCTCAAGAAAACATCAACACAGGTAATTCACATGAAAAAATAGATGATTAACACAAATAACTTATCTGCGAGATAAATAAATTATTTATATGTATACACAAATTTATTATTTGCTGTTTTTTTAGATGATATGTCGTGTGATGCTCATATATCGCCATTATGATGATAAACAATGTCTTGCATCACGTTACACAAAATTATATTGTTCTTGTGAAAACATTTATATGAACAATGAATATGATATTATATGGTAAATGAATAATTTACATACCTATGTTATTTCTTTGTAGCACAACAGAGATCTTATATATTTACAGTTGAGCTCCAGTTTGTTCTCACCAGCCATTCTCATGCAAGGATAAAAAATAATATTAGTGAATGTGGTCAATTTCTTAAGAATTCTTAATCAAATTCTTTGATTTTTTTCATAAAATTCAGCAGGTGTATGATTTTGTTTTATGAATAATTAGTTTATAAATACATGTAGTAAACTTCAGTTATTTGTTATGGCACATCTATATTAAACAAAACCGGAAATTTTGGTGAAAATTACTCAATTTACAACTGAATTTATATCAAATTTCACATATAAACATTCCTAATCACTGCTGTTACATGTATTTATAAATATTTAGTGATGTTTGGTCTTTGAAATGAGGATTCATAACGAACACAATCCATTCAGTGCACAGCTAAATCATCTAAGAACACATACATATAACAACCTAATACAGATAAATAAAAAAACATATTTAGCTTCTTAATCTCAAAATTTTATTACAGATAACAACCTTATCTATTACGAGAAGGAACCATATTTTTAATATTAAACATTCTTTAAAAAAAGACGTTTTACCTTTTAATAATGGGGCTGGATCTTCATTCTCTTCCATAAGACTCCCTGATTCTATTAGACCTGCTGGAAAAATTCGATGATTACTAAAAAATTGTGCATGTACGATATTAGATATTTGATGTAATTAACTTAAAATGGTATAAAAATACAGATCACCTTCATTGCGATTAACAATTTTTTTGGTTAAATTTGTACAATGATTAATAAAGATAAAATATTTGACAAAACTCGATTTCTCATGACCAATTGTTCATATCTCAATCGAATCAATTGATTCTGGGTATAAAATACAGGGTCATTTGTCGAATCTTTGAACAAAATATGAAATTTTATTTTGCTCAAGAAACCATAAACCCTTATAAGAATTCGAAAAAAAAAATTAGATCATAATCAATATGCGAATGAATCTGCCAACGGACTAAAAAAAAAAACTTAAATTCATAAATTAAAAAAAAATATGTAAAACTCCCAAAGAGTTCAGAAAACAAAAAATTAAGAAGATGAAAAATATCAGTGTGGAGACGATAAAGTTTGTGAGCGGTGCGGTGGAAAAGCGGTGACAAATGACACGCCGATTTTTTCGCTTTATATACACTGTGTGAATAAATCTCATCCGTCTATTTTCTGTGTGTAATAATAGAGATTCTTTGTAGCTTTAAGCATTTTGGCCTAGATTAATACTTGAGACCACATATTTAACTTAATAATCTTATAAATAGTAATAACATGGCCCATATTTTTTGCCAATTTAAATCAAATTTGACAAATTGTGTTAAACTCACATGAAACAGTTTCATTAGTTTTATTTGATGATACACATTAATGTTCAATTATTTATTTAGACGTCATTATTTACATATATAATAATAATTATAATTACTATTATTATTATTTACATATATAATGATAATTATAATTATTATTATTATATACTATTTAATTTACGTGTGTTTGTGCTAATGCATTTTTTCAACAGGACAAAATGATCCTAATAGAACTCCACTTCATAATGTTGGTACAAAAGCGCCACAAAACATTATTATTGATCTCACAAGTGAAGATGATGTTCCAACGGAT